CCAAAAGCTTCGTCCCTTTTTCTTTTTTTTTTTTGTCCTTTTCCACAGAAATGAACATTGACCAGAAGGTTTAAGCTAAGCCAGCCTGCACCCGCAAGGCAGGGGTGCAGATCCACTGCTGCCCCAGCCCTCAGCAGCTGTCACCACACCTCAAGGTCCACCATGAAAAAGTCTGTCCCTTGGGGTAACCTTGACCCCAAGGGCTCCTCTTTGATATGCAGAATCCCCTGGAGCAGGTAGAAGGAAGCATTTTTTAGGGATAAAATCAGGAAAGCACCAAACACAGGGGCTGCACGGGGGGGAGACACAGAAGATAAAAAGTGGGAAAGAGATAGGAGAGGGGGAAATGAGAGACCCTAAAGTTCATCTTGCCTGGAATATGTACATAATTACCTACTTAAATCAATATGGCCATTTTACTACGGCCTCACAGCCAGGAGCTGAGGGCAGGAATAGATGCTATGAGAGGACTTGGGAGGGAAAGCTGAGGACACCCAACCCCAGGTGATCTGTCCACGGCCCAGACAGGAGAATCCCTCTGTCTAGCACACCTGTTAGTGTCTAGCACACCAAATGGGGTGTGTTCCAGCCCCACCCCCCACCACCTGGAAGTGGTGACTCAGAGTCCTCGTCTATAAAATGGGAGCAATGATAGTACCACCTCAGAGGCTTGAGGGTGAGGATTAAATGCAGTAATGCACGTCAGGTGCCCAGCAGAGTGCCTGGCACACAGTCAGCCCCCAAGAGTGCTTAGCCATGGGCATCACCCATCGAGATGCAAGCCAAGTCTCATCCCACCACGTAGCGACTCTGACTTCTCCACTGAGCTCTCTGAGCACTCGCCACCTGTACCACACAATTTATTACCTAATTATACACTGTCTTGAAACAATTATGGAACAATTCAATACAGCATAATAAAGTGCTAAATTGAATTCAGTCAAGTTCCTTCCAGCTCTGAAATATGATGATTCCAAACCCCATATTGCACAGTACATGCTAGACACACACATAGATCTCAGCCAGAGAGAAGGGCTCTGGCCAGGCCCTCCGCACTCACTCGGCTCGCTCTTCTACAGAGCCAAGAGGCTCTTGTGTCATCAGTGTGGAGCTTGCTCTTTTCTCCTGTGGCTGGTGCTACCACCCACAGGGGGTTGGGAAGGCCCCTGCACCCCAACCTGGAAGCCCAGCAGCACAGGGAGAATGCCATCCCCAGAACAGGCAGCTTGGGTGGGCGGCAGCCTGGGCCAGCTCTGCTCTAGACATCGGAAAGAAGGGTTCCCTGAGTTGTCTTTGCACACCGCCTCTTGCCATCCCATCCCAGCCTGGGAGAACCAAGGCTGTGCGGAGTCTGGGAGACGGGACCCATGAGGCCAGCCAGCCAGGCCACCTGTGGGCTGTGTCTGAAGCTAGAGGGTCTGCAGGGCCCTGAAGGTCCAACCCACATCTCAGTTTCTGAGGAATACCTGAGCAAACACGGAAAGGTTTATGTGCACTTGCTGGAGACAGAAATAGCCCTTGGCCAGACACTTCCTACAGAATATAGAGTTAAAGGGGCTATCAGGGAAAGCGTCAAGGAAGAGGTGGGGTGGGAGGTGGTTACTGGCAGGAGGACAAGGACTTGGATTTGGAGCAGGGTCCAGCTGGCAGAAGCTGAGTGAAGTTCTTCGAGCTGTGGCTACGGGCCAGGCGGCACCTGGGGACTCCTGCTTCAGCTGCCCTCAGCCCCTGTGACTGTGGGACCTTTCCCTGGGACGTCCCGAGGCAGTGGATGTAACACTGCTAACCCCGCAGGATCAAGACTGCCAAGGGTGCTGCTGCTCCCACTGTCCCACTGTGGTCACTGGGCAGGCAGGCAGTTGGGCCAGGCCAGAGGGGTGAAAGCGCTGAGCTGGCCACGGGGGACAAGCGCTCTCCCCATCTCCCCTCCCCAGCTACCTTCCCAGAATTGCCATGCTCCGTGGGGGTGTTTGGGAAGATTTCTCATCAGTTACTGCAGAAGTATATAAACTGCCTCCATTGCCTTCTCTCTACTTCTTATGCATCCCCTCCCCCACCTTCGGTCTCCCTTTTCCCACCCTGCTACCCAGAACTCTCAGACCACCCTCCTACCTGCTCTTCTCAAGAGAAAATTCTCTCTCATCATTCCAAACTGGGAATGAGTTTATGATTCCAAAGTGTTTCCACTTTCTGGGGATTAATTTTCAAAGAGAATGCCAGCAGAGGACAAGGTTTAATCCAAAGGAATAAACCTGTAAGGGGGAATTCAGGGACACTGACATTGAAGTTTGCTTTCTTACCAATTGCCTTAACTATGGCCCTGCTTAATTCATCCTTTTATTCAATTAACATTTATTGAGCACCTACTATGTGCCATACTACTACTACTTCCTGCTTGTTTAAAGCACCCACTTAAATAGAAGCATTTGCTGATTTAAAATTATTCCTATCTGTTCATTAAAGCAGTTCCCCTAAGGATGCCTATTGGACAACACTTTCAAACCCAGACCTGAAATTAATAAAGCTATGTCAATGTATGTTTTATAATGCACACACTTTCCACTTTGGCCTGGACTTCCCCCAGCTCATGTCCAATGAGGGGACCTAACCACAGCCTTCATAAGCACTATCTGGCCCAGATTTTCTTTGTGGTCCTATTTGGAGTTTTCTAGACCAAACATTTGGACCCACTCCTTCTCCTTGTAGCTCCTGGTTGAGTGCACAATTTATGAGTCATTTGCTTTTTTGCCCCTCTTTATCCTCTGCTTATATAAGGTGCCTCCTGATTTCCATTCCAACGATGTTAATAATAAATGATAACAGGTTGTACCACACTTCAACACACCACACAACGATAGAGAGCAAAATATGGCATGCGCTGAATCATTCAATAGGTGAATAACACCACGAAGCTCATTGCGTATTCCAGGCACGGAGAGGTGTTCACTGGGATGACGACTTTCACTCTGCACTTCCTGTGGCATCCTTGTTCTGTCCTCCCCCAAGCCCTGCAAATCTGCTGCCAGGAGCTGTTCTATCCGTTTTAAAGAAGGCCGAGGTGAAAAATCTCCAACATACAGGTCAGTTCTAACTACATTCACCATTATTTCCCACGTGTGGGAACTATACGTACTGTGGTTTCTCATACACGTGGGTATTTTGGGGGCCAACCAGAAATTGGCATGTGAAATGGAATTGTCCCAGAAAAACCTGGGATGTGCAGTCATCACCTTTATTCTGTGACTAAGGGACTTCTTGGTCAAGTGGCGGCTCTCCAGAAGGCAACCAGCTCAGCTCGTGATTACATTGAATAAAGGGCGCCTTAATTCCCAAACCAAATGGACAGAGGCCAGCCATGACTCTGCCCCTGAGGGATCCCAGCTGACAGGGAAGGGGAGGCTGGCCTGAGTCACTGAGAGAGGGAGAAAGGGAGAGAAAAGAAAGGGACGGGAGATGAGAGAGGGAGGAGAGGGAAGGAAGCAGAGAAGAGAGGCAGGACATAGGGACGGAGAAAGAAAAGTGGACCAAGAAAATGTGGAAGGAAGAAAGGGAGAGAATAGGTGGGGCGAGAGAGGCAGAGAAATTAGAGACAAAATTGCGGAAAGAGAAAAGATGCTGGCAGTAGAGAAAAGTCAGAAATAGAACTCGAGCAGTGGTCTCAGCCCAGAAATGGCCTCCCAGGGGCCTGTCCCATCTTGCTCAGTTGATTAGCATTTCTTAGCCAAAACCTCTCACTGAGCTCTTCGTGGAGTCCTTCCTAGGCAGGCAGACACCTGTGGACTTACCTACACCACCCCCATCTGGCTGGGCGGGTAACGCAGCAGAAGGGCCAACATAGGAGGCTCAACATATGGAACAGACAACTCTGGACTCCTCACTCTCCCTGGGTGACATCCCAGGGGCCAAGCGGTTGGCCACGGCTCCCACTGCACATATATGGAAAGAACTGGGCTCCTAAAGGCCAGAATAAGACCCTGGTCCCTGAGGCCGCCCCCACACCCCAAGGCCTGTCTGTGGACTCTGCCCCAAATGGTTTCTGACATGGGAGCCACAGCTTTTCTTTTTCAAAGCATTGAACAAAATCATACGCATTGGCGGATCCTGAAAAACACATTTATTTCTCTTCTTTGGGATCAATTTAATGTTTTGTTATCAAAATTAATAGAGACAAAAACTCGGGCCTCTTTCCCAGGGAAACATATCTGAGAGTTAGCTCATACTTAGAAATGCAAAAATTCAGGAACTAAACAATTTAATCAGCCTCTGGAAACCCTTAGGTGCAGGTTCCGTCCACACCCAGTTCCAAGCAGAGAGCATCCTGCCTTGTCTGAAAAATTCCCCACAATGCCCTCCCAGCAATGAGGGTCCCTGTCTGAGAATATTCCATTTTCATTCATTCAACAAATATTTACTGAACTCCTACTCCTGAATTCACAGAGCTCCCTTCATTACCCATTTCAGCTCCAAATGCTATAGCAGATCAAGAAGAAATAACCACGTGACTGTACAAATGTCAAATCTCTTTGGAAATGGTTCTTTCCCAGCCAAAGTGAGCCTCACCTGTGGGCAGGGTAGGGACTGCCTGCACGGTGGGATTTCAGAGGAGCGGGGAGCCCATGCCCAACACCCACCACCTGATGCCACCCACACACACACCTACACACACTTGCCAGCTGATATCCGAAATCCTTACAGCAGTGATAGGGCTGATGTCCCCACCTCAAATGGAGGCTTGAGACCCAGATTCCCCACCCCCCTCAACACCCACCGCCAACTGAGAGGGGTCAGTGAGTCCCTACTTTGCTGTGGTTGGGTCCCAGCCCTCACCCCTGATGTCAAAGGAGACAAGGCGGGATCCCAAAAGGCAGCAAGCTCTGAGCCACTGTGCGGAGCCTGCTTCTTCCCTGAGGGCAGCTCTGGGAGTGAGCCATGGGGCAGGGGCTGTCAGGTCACCCCAGAATGGGCTTTCCCCCTCCCTGGTCATTCGCTGGGGTCTGTACCTGGAGCTGGAGTCACTGCCGCTCTGCACTGCTGGGTCGTCCGTGACATTACAGAGCCCCGTCCAATTGGCCAGCTGGTCGCCACTCTGCCAACCAAACTGGAGGCCTCTGGCAAGAGAACGAGGCAGTCGGTACTCAACGCTCGAGTGCTGGGTTCAGCCCGTCTACCAGAGAGCCACATTCTGTCGCTGTGCCGAGTGATACACCGCCTCGATCACGCACTCAGTGTAGACGAGGGCGACATCCAACCATGAGGATGATGGTAATAAACCACGGCCCTTTACAATGCTCTCTGCTCATCTACATCCACCCTCTCATTTCACTTTTCCCGCAGGCCGAGGTTACACATTGTACACACAGGGAAACTAAGGCTTAGCAAGATCAAGGTCACAGAGCTCTCATACCTCCTCTGTGGCACGTACCTCAGTTCCCTCCTCTAGAGACTTACACCACAAGGGCCCTCGCCCACCAGCACTTTGCGGTCCTCAGAGGCCAGATACACTGAAAAGCTTTTAATGAAATCTAGTTTTCCAACGCACAAAGACACTCCTCCTGGTTTAAGATGATGGACTTGACACACGTGGTTCTCTCCGCTCCCTCCCCAAACTGACTGAAATGACAGCAAAAGAATAAATAAGGGCAGAACGTGGAGAGGAAGGATAGAAGGGGGCTGGCGACAACATTTTGGAAGATGAAAAGCAGATGGGTAATTGCCTTAGACCAGAGAGAGTGGAATCCTGTCGCCTATAAGAAGCAAATCTATTTGCCAGGCACAACTCAGGAAGGCTCAGGAACAGGGGGTACCTGGGGCCACTGAAGATAGGAGTGGAAAATGGAGCTGGAAGCAGGAGGATTGTTTTAGGTTTGTATAAGGAGCAGTTAGACACCCCCTCCCCCAACAGACACACACCCCAGGACCCCATCCTTAAGCCCAAGTAGTCTGGGCACCCTGCTGGCCCACCCCACAGATGTCGGGAGGTTGCTCTCTGGGGAGCTGACCCAGAGAAGCTCTGCATTGTTGTCCTCATAGATGGAGACACTAAACTGAAAACAGCTGGGTTGACCTGAAAGTCAGCTTACTGGGTGCACATGGCTTCAGATACTGGTCCCACCCACCCTGCCCTGAAGGTTTGGCTAGGGATGGGTTTCTCAGAGGGAACCTGACCAGGGAGAAGAAAATGCTACGGAGGAAAGTCTGGTGCCCCCAATCACCCCAGCACAGGGCTTCTCCACCCCACACTACTGACATTCGGGGCCGGATCATTCTTTGTTGTGGGCTGTCCTGTGCACTGTGGGATGTTGAACAGCATCCCTGGTCTCTTTCCTCTGGATGCCAGTAGCACCTCACTCCCCAGCTTTCCAATGTGATGATCAAAAATGTCTCCAGAAGGCCAGCCCAGTGGTGTAGCAGTTAAGTGCGCGCACTCCGCTCTGGTGGCCCAGGCTTGGCAGGTTCGGATCCCAGGTGCAGACCAACGCATCTCTTACCAAGCCATGCTGTGGCGGCGTCCCATATAAAGTAGAGGAAGATGGGCAAGGATGTTAGCCCAGGGCTGATCTTCCTCAGCAAAAAGGAGGATTGGCAACAGCTGTTAGCTAAGGGCTAATCTTCCTCACACAAAAAATAAAAGAAAAAAAAAAAGGAACTCAGAGGAAAAGAGACAAATGAAAGGAGAAAAATGAATTTTTTTAATAAAACCCTTAATAATAAATAGCCTCTAAGCAAGGGGAACAGGACAGCAATGGTTGTTGGAGCGGGGATCTGGCCCATCCATATCTGCCACAAAGGAGCTGAGTGACCTTAGGCAAGTCTCCACAACTCTCTGTTCCCATCTTTCAAGTGAGGAGAACTGTCTCATGTCTCTAAAGTCTTTGACTGAGAGTATCACAGAGCTGAGCTGTCTCCTCGATGTCCACCCACCTCCCTCCTGAGAAGTCCAGATCTCCTCCCACACGCGTGTGAGCCCAGGTTCCAGCCAGACATGGGGCTGAGGAGGCCCCTTGGGGCCCTGCCAGCAGAAGGCTGCATACATGAGGTGCTCGACTGATGCTTTTGCTGAGCGACTCTGATTCTCTTCTCATACCCTCCAGTCTCCATGGCAGAGGGGAGCTCGCTGGGAGAGAAAGACACACAACTCACAGGACAGAGCCTGAAGCCAAAGCAAAACGTGTGCCCAGTTCTTAGTCCATTCAGAAAACAGCAAGGCCCTTCCTTCTTCTTCCTCTCTTTCTGTCCCATAGTCTCATGCTCTTTCCACAAAAAAAAAAAAAAAAACTTCTCCATTATCCGATATTTTTAATGTTATTAGAGCTGCTTTTGCTGTGGATCATTTAGTGATGAAGTTTTTATATAAAACAAACTATAGACTATAGTCAAAGGAAGGGACTTGCCTAAATAATCTCTGAGATCCTCTCCCATTTTGACTGAAGACTCAAAGTCACAGATTTCTGACATGGGACTTCCGGCCCTGGAGGAGGCCAGTGGAGATGATTTTATGGGCGGGGTGCTGGGTGCGTCTGTAGCTCTCCATTCACAGTGTGTGGTAACCGCATCACCTGCTGTTGCATATGGCGGGCTGGGGCCAAGCGTCAGGAAGTGCCCACTCAGATGTCGGAATCATCAGGGAGGCTGAGCCAAAAAGGCTGACACTGTGAGTACAGGGCACTGGGCACCGTGGACACTTGGGTTTCCTGAGGAGCCAGAGCCCAGGATTCCAGGCACAGAGTGGGGCATGGCGTGCAGCCCAGATCACCAAAGGGCTGGCCAGGTGCCTCAGGATGAAATTGTATCCATATCCCATCTTCACAAGCCACTTCCGAGGAAGGTGGCGCTTCAGGCCGTGGCCTCCTCAGGCTCCGCAGGGGGAGACTAAAGTCACTGTCATTTCTGCATTCCTCAGGTCAGTAGAGGCCAGGAGGGCAGCCGCCTCCTCGCTGTCTCCTGGTCTCCAAGCATTCCCTGCCCAGCCGGCCTGAACGGGACCATCAGAGCAAGCTTCTCAAGGAGTGTGCCAGTAGCCCCCCTCCTCTGCTCCAGAACCTTCCAAGAATCCCCACTGCCAAAGGACAAGGTTCCAAACCTCAGCTCAGGGGCCCTTCCAGCAGCTGCCTGCAGCTCTGCCTGTACCCGGGTGGAAACCTCACTTCCGTGAGCCACCATGGCGTTTCAACTCTCCCGTCTTTGTTCTTGGCATTCTCACTCCCCTCACCCCATGCCCCCACTTACCTAAATCCCACCCATCCCTCAAAGTCCAGCTAAAGTGCCTTCTCTCCCCGGAGCCCCCTGGGCCGTGCTGTCTCGGAACCACGTCAGCCCTTTCTCTCGTAACCGCTCGGGCACTGCTCATTCTGCCCTGAGTACTGGTCCCCTTTGCCTGCCTCTCTGTGTGGGTTTGCCATCCCCACCCACTTATAGTCCTTTCTAGAGAGGAAACATATCTAAACCTGATACAAAATTATCTTACCCCAGGTCTTTAAGCAAGCAGAGTAGGGAAAAGGGGCTGATTCGGGTAACTTTAGGTTCTAGAACTCCAGGATCCTGAATCCCACCCTGCCCAGGGTCCCCCTTGAGGAAAACTAGAGCAGGAGGTTTTCGCTGTCCCAGGAAAGGAGAAGAAATGGGGGGGTGAGGGCAGCTGGGCACACACTCCAGATTGCTCACTGGGTCAAACCCTCCTGGGGTGGGTGAAGGGGTTGTGGATGCAGAGGTGTTCCCAAACTCTCACCCCAAGAGATGAGTTTTAGGATATATAATTCTAGGAATGTTAGTAATAGGCACTGGGCAGGGACGGCATGATTTGAGGGGCCACAGGGGCCATTCCCTGTCCCTAAAATGTCTTACCCATGACCTGTTACTCATACCTCCAAGAGAATGGCCTTCTTTCAACCAACAATTACACACGATCTTCTTCAGGGCTAGAGGACCCCGCAGTTGCCCTCAAGAACTGACAGTCTGTTCATCTAAAATGGCCACCTGTGCCTCAGGGGAAGAGGTGGACTTCTGGGAGGAGCATTGGCCAGGGGGTCTGAACTGGCCTGGGGTGGGGTGTAAGGGGACAGGAAAAGCAGAGAGCCAGAGGAGCAGAGCCAGAGCTCAACTAGGTAGTGCTCATGTCAGCAACTGCCAGTTCTCAGCGAGAAGCAAATGGTGCCCAATGGCTGGGCAGCCCTTAGCGGAATTTCAGGCAGCAGCACCAGTTTGATGAGGGAGAAATTTCTGGATAAGTAGGCGTTCCCAGTACCTCTCAGTCACACATGCCTGCAGCTGCCATGTTCCTTTAAAACTGGCCCGAAGGTGGCCACGTTCTTCAGAGTTTTGGTAACCACACAGGCAGATGCCTCACCTCCAGGCAGTGCCTCTAAAGATTCCTAGATAGAGGCCCCCCAACGCCCTCCCAGAGCCTGCATTCCACCATTCACTGTGTGACTGCAGGCATTTCAGCTCTTTTTTTTTTTTTTTTTTTGTGAGGAAGATCAGCCCTGAGCTAACATCCATGCCAATCCTCCTCTTTTTGCAGAGGAAGACTGGCCCTGGGCTAACATCTGTGCCCACCTTCCTCCACTTTATATGGGACGCCACCACAGCATGGCCTGACAAGCGGTGCGTCGGTGTGCGCCCTGGATCCGAACTCAGGCCTCCAGCAGCTGAGCGCAAGCACTTAACTGCTATGCCACGGGGCTGGCCCCAAGGCATTTCACCTCTTGAAGCCTCAGTTTCCTCACCTGTCAAAGGAGAGGAATAACCTCCAACCTAAGGATATAAACAGTCCATGAAAGCAGACACATAAACGCTACCAAACATATAAAAGCTTAAATCTAATAATATTCCATTTAAATGCATGTAACTCAATGTTCTCTTTCAGAGAAGACAATGAAGCAGTTGAAGGACAAGGTGAGGAGTCTTACTTTCCACTTCCACACCCTTTTGGACTTTTCGAACCTTACACATGCATACATTGCCTTTTCAAAAAATAAACAAAAGTAAATTTTGGTGTGGGCTTAATCTCACTAGTAACCAAAGACATGCAAACGAAAGTAATGCAATCCTTATTTTTTAACCTATCAAGTTGACAAAATACATGTAATGCTAATACCCAGGGCTGGTCACT